ATCCAGTGCATTTTCTATTCCACCAAGCAGCCTCTAGGTCGGTTCTAGACTATTCTTTTCCCAGAGTTCCCAAGAGAGACCAGCTGAGGCCAGCACCAGAGAAGCTACAATTAGTAGTGATCATGAAGACTAGTTTAGTTGTGGATTAACCTCATATGGTCCTGTGACAATGCTTAATGTACCAACTACTCCATGGTTCTGGGCTACTGGGCTACCCCTAACAACTGTCTTCACATTCATGATTATCTCCAAAGCTGACCTGACAGGATGATGCCATCTTCTTATATAATCTACAATTAAAATAAACCAAAACAAACAAACAAAAAACTTGAACGTGTCCAGGAATAAGTAGCTATTTGTTTCTCTTCCCTCCCTCTCAACTTAGTCCACAATTATTCTAATACCCTCAGGAAGATCACTCTTCTTTCCTAGTTTACAGAAAAGAAAGGGGAAAGAGCAAATGGCCTATCTAATAGGGGGACCAAAACCTACTTCCAACTAAAAATTAGTAAATGTCAGGGACTAGATTCTTCATTAGGATTTAAAGTTGCAGGGCCCAATCATTTGCAAAAATAAAAATTCACTGTATAGAAAATAGACCTGCTGCATTAATAATGCAAAGCCATTTAAATAAGAGACTGCAATCCAACTTTCAAATGTTTTATTTTTAGTGTTTTTAAACATTTTAATACAACAAAGATATAAAATAATATATATTAGTTAAATCTGGATTTAATTTAGAATCAAGATATTTACTTATATACAATACTGTGCTTCAAGGTATGGCTACCACAGGAACTTTCGCATCTTCAAGTAATACTAGTTTTGGTGTGGATAAGGTGACATTTAGGTAGAATTCTTAAACAAAACATGCCCATGTTAGTCCATGCTAATTTTGCTTGCCCCAGTAAGTACCAGTTTCCACTTTCTTTGTTCCATATCAGAAATACTTCAATTGTCCTGACAATCTAACAATCTCTGAATAAAAAATTAAAATTAAGCATTTTTAAGATGACATTACTGATAACACTGCTTGGCTACCTTCAGACAACCCAGTAGTTCAGATTGAAACAGACCTGAAATAACAATGAAATTAACATATTATTCTTTCTCCCTCCATATTAGGCACAAAGCTTCCTTATGCTTAAACATGGAGTACACTGAATAAAAAGTCCTTTGGTTAATTTAGGGTAGAACATACTCTAAAAACCAACTTTATTGGTAGCTGAATTATGACTTTATAGATTTCATAGATATTTTTATTGAACTTGATGGAAAGTAATAGGCCACATTTTAGTTACCTGATATTGGTGGAATTCACTGCAGGTGAGGGGTCGGTGAGAGGGGGACCAAAACCTACTTCCATAGTAATTTCAGTCATTCAAAGCCACTCAAAGACAGGGAAAAAAAACTTCAACCTCTTTCCTTTCTCACTGGTCACCTGAAGCAGTCTGATTTTTGATGATACTAACAATTCTCCTCTACAGAGATATAGGGGTAATTCAGGCTAAATTTTTTACAAATGCAAACTGTCTTAACTGCCAAATACAGTTGGCCTTAAAACTAACATGCTTTGTTGGCTTTGAAACTATCTAAATGAAACCAATACTCTTGAAGAGAGCTATTGGACTATTCTAAAAGAGAGCTTTCTTGTCTCAAATGCCTGAATACCTTAAAGAACTGACAAATGACTATTACTATAGTTACTTTTATTAAGGGATAACTTAAATCTACAAAAAGACTATCAAAGAATTAAATTTATTAGATCAGAGAGTTTAAAACAAGAATATGGTCAATGTTCTCAAGCAATTTGGAACTAGAATCCTTGAAAAAAATTTACCATGAAACTAATATGAAATTGCCTTTTGCTGAATGCAGTCAAAGCACGTTAGTGTTATGAATATGACTTTGAATATATAAATAGCACTTTCCAAAGAGATGTACCTAAAATAGACTGTTTCATATCAGCTATAAAAGGATTTGGCTCCTCTGTTCTCCATTTACAAATGTGAAGATTCTTGGAATTCTAAGCAACAGCAGGTACAGGATAGGGAATAATGCCACTTGCAGTGTCAGTGTCAGAGTTACACTACCAGCAGGCCTCTCAGACAATGGGTTTTTTCTTGTGAACAGTGCACACTTATTTAACTGACTGGTTCTAAGGCTAAGCTCACTGCTTACTGATTTAAAAGGATACTAATAAACAGACCCAGCATATGGAAGATGTATTTTTACCCTAGCAATTCTGGCCACAGAGAACTACGGAGATGATAGCCATGTTGAAAAATCTGCAGCATAGCCAAAAATTATCCCAAATTATTTGGTGATAACAGCAAACTTGCCTTCTTCAAAACCTCCCACTCCCTATGAACTTCAATTACCCTTCAGTAACACTGCCTTGCATGGACTTAAAAAAAAAAGAGAGAGAAAAACCAAAAAAAAAGGCAATGCTGCCCCCAGGAACAGAGAAAATGCATAGAGGACTTGCAATATAACTTCCAGTTTGCATCCTCAAACCAAAACCTTCTTGGTTCCTTTTGAGGTGTTAATGTTTAATGATGTAAGCCTCTCACAAGTCTGCAACTGTAGAACCTAATACAAAGTCAAAAAATATGTAGCTATAAGGCATGTAGCTTCTCTACCTAGCCACATTCACACCCAAAATGTAAATGTAAATACTACCTTCTCTATGGTTTAGATTTTAACAAGAAAAAAAAAATAGAAAGACAAATCTGGAAATTTCTGGACAAAACAAAAAGTGACTAAAATATAGGTTTCGTATTTAAAAAAACACAGAAAAGAATTTTGTTTCAAAGTTTTTCCAAGAAAGAGACTTGGAGATGATTAATTTATGTAAACACTACTCTGTAATAGTTTTAACAATAAATTATAAATCTAGCTTACCTTTTCCTCAAAACAGATACGATAAATGCAAGGCTGAAAAGTTATTTTACAACCCTGATTGCAGTCTGCTGTTAGGTACTCTCAATGTCAATAGCTCTGTAAAGTTAGTTGCAATTTTTTTTTTCTATTTTGTTCTAGAATAGAATCCATATGAAGGAAAGAAGACTGACATTAGGAAATCTGCCATTAAGTTGCTATTTAACATTCTTGAATTCATGTTGCCACAGACTTTTTTCAAACATTGTCCCAAAAGCCAACATCAGTCCCTTCCTAGCTAACTGTGGTCCTGTTCTGTCATTTGGAAAAATGGCAGTAACACATCTTTTGACCTCAAGGGTCAAACTACTCTAACTGGCATAGGAAACATCCTTCACCCTTCATGAATATGCAATTTCCTTAGATGAAATGTTGGCATTTTGTCCCTAGCATGTAACAGAATCAACAATTTAAGATACTGTAAGATCTGAAGTATGAGATTTAAAAGCATAATAAAACTTGAATTGCCTTGTGCCATTTCTCAAGTGAGAAATAAAAAATAATGTTTAGAGCAGACCTGAATTGAGGTCATTCAGCACTGACTGAAACTCATTTGCATAATATTCCTTTCCTGCCCAATCCATTCAGGCTCCTCTGTAGCTTATACAGGGGTGGGAATATGACTCAAAGTGCAAAAATAAAATATTTCACCCATATGAGGGGCAGACTTCTGCTAAGTGCCTTAATTTTAGATCTCGATATGCCAGCACCTTTTCTAATTCCGTTTGAAAATGGAATGTAAAAACTACAATTAATATTCTAAGTGACAAAGCTCAACAGTTGGGATTCAAATTTCAATTCCATAACCATCCTACTGTCATAACTACTATACAAAATCATTAAAAGTAAAGTGACAAATGTTATCACAGAGGTCAAATTACTTAAGGTATTAAATTTCTAGTGTTGTAAATAGTAATTAAGTTATATCACTTCCTGACTGCCAAATTAAGACCAAATAGAAAGAATGTATGTACACATTGTATTTAAAAATAAAAAACAACAAAACCTTTTCATATCCAAATATGTCTGAGACTGCTTACTTCTGATGGCCAAGAATGAGAAATTTCAAAAACCAAAAAGTTATATTATGCCTGCAACCTGTTATAAATTTCTTTTCAGAAAGAGAAAAAATATTCTTTGCATGCATATCTCCCAACTTAAAGACATAACAACTTTATATAACATCTGGTAAAACACTCCACTATTTTGCTCATTAAATAACGTCACTGAAAAGCATAAAATTGGGCTGTCATCTGTCTAACTAACAGCTATAGCACAAAGTTATTCCAGGTACCTACATCACTAAAATTAATCCAATTTTATTTTTACGGATGCAGCCATTTTTCCCTCATGAATACTTACTGATGGTCATACTGAACCCTCAGAACAAAATGCATCTTTTGTTGCATCTTTGGTGAAAAATGCCAGCAATAGATTTGTACTTTGTCACCTCATGTATGGCCCCTTTTATTTTCTTCTTGTTTCAGGCAGTCTAGTATGTTCAGTATACTTTTCTTAAAGATGGTTCAGAAGGCAAAAATTATTTGTAAGTAAAATAGATCAATATCCAGAGTTGCCTTTTTCAAAAAGACACAGAGATTAGTTCAAAGAATAAGTACTGCTCACTTGGTGGGGCTTTTTCCTTTGAAGATAATAAGGAGCTTCAAAAAATATTATTTATTGACTCTAGTCCTACTAGAAATAAAAAAAAAAAATCTATCAACCATCAAATTGTTTAAGTTGATTTGCTTAAGTTCAATAAGCAAATACTCAACAGGTTAAGGGTAACAGCCTGACTTCAATCATAACATTAAGTCTGCCTAAAGAGAAGGGGCAGAAAACATTTACCTAAGCTTTCAGTTCAAACAAATATGTAAGGACTCTTGATTGTTCTTTCTTGCTTTCTATAATCACAACCTTGCTCAGAACAGGGAACATTACTTTGTCAACACATAAGCCAAAAAGCAAGACATCCAGAAACAACCTAGGGGGAGAAAGCAAAGTTATTCACTTTCAACAACTACTGTATATTTAATCACGAACCCATTACCAAGACACTGTTCATCCAATTAGTCTTTTCATTATTTCTGGTTTTGAAAATGGCCAACAATATTCATTAGGTACTGTACCATTAACATTGCATTCAAAAAAAGAAAACATGGGAAACCAAATTCTTGCTCTCCTACTCTGGTGATATGCTCTGGTATTGGCTAGAGTATGGTAGTACAAAAAGAGTCTTGTTGTGATATAAAAGGCAATAAATACATCAATGGAATAATGTTCATGGGCAGCCAAAATGAAGAAGATTCCAAAGAGGTTGAGAACCCAGGATAAAGTGTGCAAGAAATTCCAGCTTCGTGGTGTATCTGGGAAAAGGACAGAAAGATCATTTTAAAATCACATTCCTTCCAATGCTTCTCAGTCATGTTTCTTAGGTCAATCTGTTTCTCCCGTTCTTCACAAAACTTGACACCCTTTCCACAGCCTCCTCTGCAGCTAGTCATCTAATATGCATAGAAGCACTAAAGAGATACTTACATTCAGTGACAAAGAAATTCAGCATAGTTAGGACGACTGTGTGGCCACTGAACATGTAATCTCCACAGGTGTGAACGCCAGTTAGGGTCATACCAAAGCCACTCCAAATGGCAAAGGCCCGGTGTAGTTTCTCCCATACACTACCATATATCTACAAAGAAAGCTATGAATTAGTGCTTCAAATGCTCACGGAGGTAGGGGCTTCCCAACATCCACTCCCATTAAAATTCAAATGCTGAATGACTTAGAAATAATATCTAAGCAAAAGCAACCAGACTTCCAGTCTAATTAATTCCAGACATCAAGAATGGGTGGTAAAAACTTGACAGTACTCAGAAATATTTTGGTAATTACATGAAATGAATGTAATTCAAACTTCTCTACTAGGAGTTCCTTTACAATGAAAAGGTCACTCTAACACAAAAATATTTCCAAGTTTTTAATCCAATAATATAGTAGTATTTTCTTGGCTGTTCTTGCCAATAAGAAATAGGCTATGACAGGGACAATGGCTACCATTCAATATCCGTTCTCCCCTTCTTCACTGGTAACAGAATCTCAAATTTATTTGAAGTGGCAATGAACTCAACCAAAACATTGCATTTCCCGGCCTCCCTCGCAGCTAGGTGTGGCTATGTGACTAAGTTCTGTATAATAAGATGTATGTGGAAATGTAAAACATTTCCGGGAAGGCTATTTATAAAGGAAAGAGACAACAGCTTAGAAGTCTTTTCTACCTTTCCTTCTTCTAGCCTACAACTCAGACATGCTAGCTGAAGCTCCAGTAGCCATCTTAGACCACAAAATGGCTTTGAGGATGCAAGCCAAGTGCTAGGATAGGAGAGAAGAAAGACAGAAAAATCATGGGTTTTTGATGACTCCATAAAGTTACCATATCTGACCTGGAGTACCTACTTTCAGACTTACCTTACAAGAGAGAATAAACCATTGTTTGTTTGTTTATTACACCATAGCCATCTTGAATTTCCTATTATTAGCAGCCAAATCTAATCCCAACTCCCACACGTAAGCTTAAAAAAGCAATACATTTTGAGGAAGAGTTTGAGCAATAGTCATACACAAAAAAGATGGATTTAACACATAAGAACAATACAAAAAATTGCTAAAATTTTATGTGCGTTTACTATGTGCGAGGCTTTCTGTTAAGTGCTCGATGTGCTATTGCATTTAATTTCTACAACAATCCTGTGAAGTGATTCAGTTGTACAGATGAGGAAACTGGCTTAGAGAGGTCACCTGGCTAGTAAGTAACATAACCAGGATGTGAACCCAGAAGTCCAATTCCAAAGACTCCGCTATGGCTAATGAACTTTTAAAAGAAACAACCTCATTAGATATCACAATTTCATTAGAAATCTCACTTGCTGATTATACACTACCCAGCTTTCCCTTTCTGCCTCAGTTGAGGGTGGGAGAGGGAGAGGAATTTATTATTAGAGAAAAGGAAAGAGAACGTACTAAATTACACATGGTTTGGTTCTTCCAGGACCTCTAATGAGAATAGGGTTGGAGATGTTACTCTCATGAAAGTAAAAAATCAGGCAGTGAAGAACACAGACTGCTAAGAAAATGTCTCAGCCAAGGACAGAAAACAAGCGATGCCGATCAAAAGAAAGCAATTATTGCTCAATTACTCAAGTCTCCCTATTCTTTCCAATCTTAAATGTCCCAAATATTCTTCCAGAAAAATAAAAATTGAAACACAACAGAAGGAATAAGATGCTTTGATGAGACAAAGTGTAGAAATTTGCTTTAAGTGTTTCTCTCCTTAACGTGGGTCTATTGCTAAATTTCAAAAACAGGCATGTTCTTGGTTCTGTCCCCAAACCTCCCACTTTTGGGAGTGAGATTTCAAGCAATTAATTTATTACAATGAAAATGCCCTATGGCGTTCATTGTAAGGGATTTGATTGCTAGTTACTATCACCTTAACTTGCTATTTTTAAGGACTGCTGTGAATAATACAGGTCAATAAGTAGGTTATATTATAAGTCAAAGCAATTAACAGTATTTAGGGCAGATTTGAATAGAAATGTCCATATATAAGTAACTGATAATGAAAAACAGTCACTAGAGACAGAAAAATGGCTGTCGATACTGTAGAGGGAGGGTATCTAATTTATTTTTGTTGCACATGTTGCAGCCCTATGCACATATATCCTCCTTAAAGTGGCTGACCCCCAATTAAATTCCTCAGCTACAGGAAATTCTCCTTTCAGTGTAATAAACTTACATTTTTCTTCTTTTAAATCTCTTCTAATCAACTAGCATACTATTTAGGGGAAACTGTTCTATCCCTCTTCATACCATGTCTAAAAAAAAAAATTCAACAGATTAAAGATTTAAATATAAAACATAAGACCATAAAAGTCTCAGATATTATCTTTCATTGATCAGAATGGCAGTGATAAGCAGTGCTGGCACGCGGGTGGGAAAACGGACATGCATACATTGTTGATAGTAGTGAAAAACTAGGCTTTTCTAGTGGACATTTGAGCAATACATATCACAATTTTTAATGTGCATGTTCTTTGATTTCATAATCCCACTTCCAGGAATTTATCTTATGGAGATGACTAAATAAGTGAAAAAGCATAAATGTACAAGGATGTTTACAGTAGCATTGTTTATAAATAGTAAGATTTGGAAACAACCTAAACGTATATCCTTTGGAGACTGGTAAATCATACAATGGAACACTCTGCAGCTATTAAAAAGATGACGTATTTCTTTAGAAAAAAGTAAACATACTATTAAGTAAAACATAAGCTAAAGAACAACATCTGCAATATAATCCTATCTTTTGTTTAAAAAGTATTCATATGAATGTATAAGCATGCTTAAGAATAGTCTATGTGGCTATATAAACAACTGTTAGCATTATTTATGGGGTGTGGTGAAAGAAGAGGGAAATTATGTGAGCTTTTACTTTTTAATTTATATATTTCTATAAAATTTTAATTTTTACAATAAACATATAACTTTATAATTAGAAAAAATTAGTTTCCCTTTTTGATAAAAAAAGAAACAAAACAGCTTTTACCTTAAAAATAAAATATTTCCTTTATAATAAATCCTAAATGTCATATTAACCCTTCCCTCTTTCTTACTGGTCAGTCTCCCAATACCAAGAGAAAGTTGTGTCATCTTTCAGCTCAGGGCTCTATTTTTAGCTTCTCATCTCCTTTGGCTGCTTAATCTTCCCTTGTCAGCATTTCAGCTATTTATATTGCAGTAGAAGAACTGACACTTAATTTTGTTTTACACTTTACCAACATTAAAATAATAACAAAGGTATTAATACATATATTTGAATATTTGGAAACACATAACTAAAGCACAGAGGCTTAGAAAAGTGGAATAATAAATTCTTTTGTCCAAATTTAACAAGTCACAATAGCCAACTTTGTATATAAAGCATAGGTGATTTTCAGGGTTTTTTAAATTTTTTAAAGTAATTCATTACCCTGTTTTTTTGTTCCCATCTGCATAATCTCTCCCTTCTCAATTTAACCATAAGAGAAGTCTACAGTATACCAAAACAAGCTCGAGTATAAAACAAAAACAAAAAATCAGCCATTATTTAATCCCAGATATACTCTGTAAAGTTTAGAGTAGTACGTACTGTATTTTACATGGGATATGGTCAAACTGAAACACTTTTAAAAAAAGAGTGATGAGGATAGTGAAGGGATCAGAGTCATGTCACGTCATCTGAGGAACTAAAGATGCTGAGGATGGTGGGAAAGGGAAAATGATAACTAAAAGAAACTTTTTTTCTATTGCTCCACAGTGGAAAACTAGTCAATGAATAGCCGTAACAGGGAGGTAGATTTTGGCTTAAGATTTTTACCAAATTACTTCTAGAGGTTTATTATAGATACTGAAAATACTGAAAAGCACATTTTAATGTTAAAAGCAAAGTCTTAGCCCTAGTGCATATATGGTGCCATCAATCCACCAAGAACAAGAGAAAAGAATGATAAAGAAGGTAGCAGGCTACCTTTCCAGTACACTGTAGGTGCTGTCCTGGCACGGAGAGGGAGGTCACAAACATGGTAAAGCAGCGAAGCAAGAATACAGTGCCCATCAGACTACAGAGCCTTCGCAGAAGTATTGACCTGTGAACAGATTGGCCAAAGAGGGAGAAAATCAGAAGAAAACAAACCAAAATACCCCGGGCATCAAATGTTTACTTAAAGGGAGAGCAAGCAGGAAAACCACTAGAGTTTGATGGGGACAGAAATCTTAGAGACCATCTAAAGGATCATTGTCCAATAGAACGTTCTGCAATGATGGAAATGTTGTATAGCTGCGCTGTCCAATAAGCTATCTACATGTGGCTCTTGAGCACTTGAAATGTGACTACTACGACTGAGGCACTGAATTTTAATTTTATTTCATTTTCATTAATCTAGATTTAAATAGCCACATGCAGGGGCCGGCCCGGTGGTGCAAGCAGTTAAGTGCGCGCACTCTGCTGTGGCGGCCCGGAGTTCGCCGTTTGGATCCCAGGCGAGCACCGACACATTGCTTGGCAGGCCATGCTGTGGCGGCGTCCCATATAAAGTGGAGGAAGATGGGCATGGATGTTAGCCCAGGGCCAGTCATCCTCAGCAAAAAGAGGAGGATTGGCAGATGTTAGCTCAGGGTCGATCTTCCTTACACAAAAAAATAAATAAATAAAAATAAATAGCCACATGTGGCTAGTGTGCGCCATGTTGGACAGTGTAGACCTAAGAGCACCATTTCATTGATAAGAAAATATAGCAAAGAGAAGGTAAAAGAGTTATGCAAGAGAGAAGTAAGACTAGTACCTAGCCTGACTCTTAGCTAAGTGTTAGTCCTATAACTCACATATTGCTCATAAATTATTTACTTAATGAGAAGTAAAGTTAAACATATGATTCCAGAGAATTTTTTGCTCATTAATAATATTGTAAATTCGTTAATTATAGTAGCTATCTAATAAAGGTTCTCTAACTTCTTCTAAACGTAAGCTATAAAATACTAAGTTTTTTTAATACTAAGTTTTACATTAAGTATATCGCTAACAAAAATTTTGAACTGCTTTGTGACATCACTTGTATTATTACATTATTTTTTAAAATGTCTTAAACCAAAACAGACTATAAGACTATGCTTTACACATTTTCAAAATGCTCCTCCCATCCTCAAAAAAAGCACTGAACACAAGGTCAGGTATGTTTCAAACTTCAGTGTGTACACCTGGGATGGAGCCTAGGAACCTGCATTTTACCAAGAGCCCAGGTGATTCTAATGAAAGTGGTATAAAGACTATACTTTGAGAATCACTTTCTTTGACTAATTAAACATCAAAACTTGCATTAACTGGCCACTGCTACACTTGACTAAACCTACCAAGGTTTCCTATAAGGTAAACTCTTGATTTGAAGAGTAGATAAATTCAAATCCACAGGGTCTTGTGAGGCAAAGTTAAACCAGAAAGCAGCAGTGTTACACGTGTTTTTTAAACCACCTCTGGTTTTAAGCAATCCAGTTAAACATACTGCTTCAAGACGACAGAGAATGAAGTGCAATATGGCCTACAAGTATAACAAGAATGGCAATCATCAACCTTTCTTTTCACCTTCAAAACATGGAAATAACTGCTGCTTAGACCTAAAATTCATCACTGTGGTTTACCTCAAGCACTCTCTAGTGAGGAGGAAAGATCAAAAACTCAAGCAAGTGTCCCTATTCCTCTTCAGTGTAGAAGACCAATGGATAGCAGATCCATAAACTTTATACTTTAAATATTTTCTTTGCTATGCCTTATTTTTTCCTTAAATCAAGTAATTCCCCTCATTGAACCAGGAGAGGAGCCTCCCCTTATGCTTCTCTTCTTCTTCTTCTTTTTTTTTTTGTGAGGAAGATCAGCCCTGAGCTAACATCTGTCACCAATCCTCCTCTTTTTGCTGAGGAAGACTGGCTCTGGGCTAACATGTGAGCCCATCTTCCTCTACTTTATATGGGATGCTGCCACAGCATGGCTTGACAAGCGGTGCGTCCGTGCGCGCCTGGGATCCGAACCCCAGGCCGCCACAGCGGAGCGCGCGCACTTAACCGCTACGGCACCGGGCCGGCCCCTCTCTTCTTTTTTTGATGAAAAAATATTCTTTTCTCTTTATTTCTTGGTGAAAGTGCCAAAGAAGCACTTTCCCTATTCAGCAATTTCCTATACCATCTGAAGTAAACCACACTGACTAGATGTGCAAGATGTGCAAAATAATCTCTTTTTTAATGGGCCTTCTTCAAGCAGAGAACAACTTCTTCCATCCAAACATATGACCAAAGACTGTCCTTGAAGGAGTTTCTATCCTTCTACAGAAAGTGACATTTCTGATTTGTTTCCAAAGAAAAATAAGGCCAGGCTGTCATTGATTGGCCCATGGTTAAACATCACCATCTCTGATCTTTCCCTGAAAAATACATTCACAGTATTACTAAATATGTAGGTATTACCTCAGGCTGACTCTTTTGTTAATCAAACCCAAAACATTTTCCTATGTTAATAACTATAATGTCACAATTAGAGAGAGGAAATTTGTTTAACAAGGAAACTGCAAAGGTAGAAACAAGGTTGATGACCTTTACACAAGACAATCAAAACACTTTCAGTCTTTGAATGAAATAAGTGACATACCTGTGCTTGTGAAGAAGAAGAACCAGGAGCCAAATATAGCACAGAATCATGCCACATACTTCTGTCATGGCAAAAGCCCATGGGATTCTAGGAACGCTGGAACAGAAAAAAATTACATTTTGAACTGACAAGAAGTATATGTACATAAATGACGCCACCTTTTACAATAAGATTCTCTTCTAATAATGACCTTAAAATTGCTTTCTATAACTTTTACCTCTTTTAGGAGATGATATTTGGAGAACCTGGGGAAAAAAACTGTTTCATAAAGTACCCCATTTACTAGAACCTCTTTGTTGCCTATTCCCAGGCATGGTTCTCTGTAAAGAAGTAACAACTCTTTTCTCCCTCCCTATAGCACAGTAGACCTGGATACAGGACTGCCCACAAAAGACAATGAGAAAAAGGCTCACATCTTGCATGATGTGCTCATTTCAGAATCCAGACAACCAGGGCTTGAACTTGACTCCTCTTTTTTAGTATATTTGGTTTTGTTTTAGAGGCAGTAAATAGAGTTTTTGTTTTGTTTTGTTTTACTCCTTTATTTCTCTCTGTCCTCTTTTGTTTTATACTCCTGTTTTCTTCTGTCTTTTCCATTGATCTCTTTCCTCACCAATCCACAGCTCCTGTGGTTATCCACTAGTAAAACACATGTCATATTTCTTAATTTAAAAAGAAAGGAGGGGGGAGAGGAGGAGGAGGAGAGGGAGAAGGAGGAAACGGAGGGAGGAGATGGAAATGAATTAGTCCAAATAGGTCATCTCTGGGTGGTAGGATTATTGATGGTTTTATTTTTATTCTTTGTACATTTCCACCAAAAAATTTTATACAATGACATGTTAATTTTATAACTAAGGAAATAAAGGTGTTTTAAAAAGAAAATATGAAATCTGAAAGAAAGATTTTTTTTTTTTT